ACATACCCTACCATATGATCCAGCCATTTCATTTCTAGGTAGTAACCCAAGAGCAATGAAAACATAGATTCATCCAAGCCCTCTTCACAAATGTTCCTAGCAGCTTTATTTTTAATATCCCCAAACTAGAAGTAACCCAAATGTTCATTAAGGGGTGAATGGTTAAATAAATTGTGGTATATCTATAATGTGATATACTACTTGGAAGTAAAAAAAGAATGACCTATTGCTATGTACAACAACACAGATGATCTGAAAATAATTATGGCAATGGAAAGACGCCTGACAGAAAAGGACACATAAAATATGATTCAATTTATATAAACTGGAAAGTGAAAACAAGAAACTAGGTCAGTGGAGGCTGGAGACTGGAGTGGAAGAAGCTATAGATTATAAATGGGCATGAGGTAACTTTTGGGGGAATGGAAACATTTGGTATTTTGACTGGTGGTTTCATAGATATGCCTATACGTCAAAACTCATCAAATTGTACACTTTAAATATATACAGTTAATTGTGTGTCAATTATACTTCAATAGTTTTCTATAAAAGGCAAAAAAGAAAAAGCCTGAAGTACACCAAAGTGATATTTTATTGAGCAGAACATGGAAAGCTACAATAGAGTTATAATCCAGTTAAGTTCAGCATTTAAAGAAATGATTTTTTACTGCTTAGAGTTGAGGAGGATGGCAATTTAAATAAATATGGCTATTCCTCAGCTTGTTGTGCCTCACTTTATTGCAGTGGTCCCCAACCTTTTCAGCACCAGGGACCGGTTTCATGGAAGACATTTTTTTCAATAGACAGTTGGTGGGGAATGGTTTCAGGATGAAACTGTTCCACCTCAGATCATCAGGCATTAGATTCTTGTAAGGAGCACACAATCTAGATTCCTTGCATGTCCAGTTTACAATAGGGTTCAGGCTCCTATGAGAATCGAATGCCGCCGCTAATCTGACAAGAGATGGAGCTCAGGCAGTGATGCTCATTTGCCCACAGCTCACCCCTGCTGTGAGGCTGAGTTACTAACAGGGAGGGTACCAGTCCCTGGGGATTGGAGACCCCTCCTTTACTGCACATTGCAGATATTGCTTTTATTTGTTGTTAATATTTTATTTTTACAAATTTAAGGTTTGTGGTAATCCTGTGTTAAACAAGTTTCTCAGTGCCATTTTTTCAGCAGCATGTGCCCACTTCATGTCTGTGTGTTAGATTTTGGTAATTCTCACAATATTTCAGACTTTTTCATTATTCTTGTATCTGTTATGGTGGTCTATGATCACGGGTCTTTGATGTTACTATTATAATTGTCTTAGGTTGCAATGAACTGTGTGCATGTAAGATGGCAAATTTAGTTAATAAATGTGTGGTTCTGACTGTTTCACCAACTGGCTGTTCTCCCAACTACCTCTCTCTCCTGGGGTCTCCCTATTCCCTGACCTAATATTGAAATTAGGCCAGTTAATAACCCTACAGTGGTCTGTAAGTGTTCAAGTGAAAGGAGCAGTCTCATGTCTCTCACTTTAAATCAAAAGCTAGAAATGATTCAGCTTAATGAGGAAGGCATGTCAAAAGCCGAGAACTAGGCCTCTTGAGCCAATCTGCTAGCCAAGATGTGAATGCAAAGGAAAAGTTCAAGAAAGAAATGAAAAGTGCTACTCCACTGAACACACAAATGATAAGAAAGCAAAAGTCTTATTGCTGACATGGAGAAAGCTTTGGTGGTCTAGAGAGAAGATCAAACCAGCCACAACATTCCTGTTAGCCAGAGTCCAATCCAGAGCAAATGAACTCTATTCAATTCTGTAAAGGCTGAGAGAGAGGTGATGAATCTTCAGAAGAGAAATTTGAAACTAGCAGAGTTTGGTTCATGAGATTTAAAGAAAGAAGCTGTCTCCATAATACACCAGTACAAGGTGAAGCAGCAAGTGCTTATGCAGAAGCTGCAGAAAGTTGTCTTGAAGATCTAGCCAAATCATTGATGCAGGTGGATACACTAAACAACAGATTTTCAATGTAAGTGAAACATCTTTATATTGGAAGAGGATGACATCTGGGACTTTCCCAGCTAGAGAGAAGTCAGTGCCTGGCTTTGAAGCTTCAAAGGACAGGATGACTCTCTTGTTAGAGTAAAACGTAGCTGGTGACTTTAAGTTGGAGCCAATGCTCATTTACTATTCTGAAAATTATATGTTCCTTAAGAATTATAACAAATCTACTCTGCCTGTGTTTTAGAAATGGGAAAAGAAAATCTGATATTAGCATATTTGTTTATAGCATATTAAATATTTTAAGCCTACTGTTGAGAGCTACTGGCTCCACAAAAAGATTCCTTTCAAAATATTACTGTTTATTGTCAATACATCTGGTCATCCAACAGCTCTGATGAAGATATACAAGAAGGTTGATAATATCTGTTCTGCAGCCCATAGGTCAAGGAGTAATTTTCGCTTTCAAGTCTTCTTATTTAAGAAATACATTTTGTAAGGCTACATCTGTCAAACATAATGATTCCTCTGATGGATCTGGGCAAAGTAAATTGAAAAGCGCCTGGAGAGGATTCACCGTTCTAGATGCTAGAAGAGTTGCTTCTGTGGATGGGTAAAAACAGTAGTTTTTTTTTGTTTGTTTGTTTTTTGAGATGGAATATACTCCTGGACAAGATGCTCTGAATATTGCTGAAATGACAACGAAGAATTTAGAATATTTTGTAAATCTGACTGATAAAGCAGTGGCAGAGTTGAGAGGACTAACTTAATTTTGACAAAAATTCTACTATGGATAAAATCCTATCACGCAGCATTCCATGGTACAGAGAAATGTTTTGTGAAAAGAAGATTCAACTGACAGCAAACTTCATTATTGCCTTATTTTAAGCAATTGTCACACCAATTCCAACCTTCAGCAACTACTACCCTGATCCATGAGCTGCCCTCAACACTGAAGCAAGACTCTCCACCAGCAAAAAGATTAGGAGTTGCTGAAGGCTCAGATGATCATTACACTTTTTATTTTTAAAAAAGCATTAAACCATTTTCAAGGTAAGGTATATATATATATTTTAAGACAAAGTGCTATTGCATACCTAATGGACCTCAGTATGGTGTAAACATAACTTTCATATACATTGAGAAATCAAAAAAATTGTGTGACTCACTTTATTGCAATATTTGTGGTGGTTTGGAACCAAACCAGCAACATTTTTGAGGTATTCCTGTAGAAGGTAAGAAGTATCAACACAAAATTTCTGTTAAACTAGGAGAATATATTTTGTTCCTTTCAAAGAGAATGCAAAAGCTTTTGTTTTGTTTAGGAGATGCTGGAAATAGGAATATCTTGATCTAAAAATTATTGGGAATTATTCATAAAAAGCACACACACAGGTTATTATAAAATTTCGGCATCATATGACACTGGAAAAGCAATTTTGTTATGTTTCATAATTAACTTATTTATCTGTTCTCTTTACTAACTTTTTCATATGTTTGTAAAAACACAGTGGGTTTAGTTAGAAAAATAAGGCTGAAAATGTCCCACACTTAAACAATGAAAATAAAGTTTTAACAATATGACAAAACTATAGATTCCTCTACAACCACAAAAAGTTAATGACTTGGAAGCTAGAAAGATTATAATGTATGCTTTATGTTTTGGGTGTGTGTGTGCGCACGCGTGCACAAAAAGCCAGTGTTCTAAGGTAATTTTGTGGCTTCTTTCTAGTACAGAGTCCAAATTTCCAATGTCATTCCTGCTTGGATTTCATCCCACTATTTAACACAGCAGACAGAAAATTACTGTAAGATTTGCAGTGAAACAGTGCCAGGTGTTTTAAAATATAAACGTTGCTTTCCTGGATATAAGTTACCATGTAAGTGGAATGAAATATTTAATCGCATGGCATAAATCTTTTGAAAGAGACTATCTGACAGTTCCTTGGAAACAAATGATTACCATGTACTCCTAGACCAACTCAAATCTGCCAGAGAACAATTAGTTAGTTGCAAGGGTAAAACTTGCCTTAGTTTTGGTGCTTTGTTTTAAATGATTTCAACTAGTCTCAGTTATTTAAAAAAATACATTTTTTTCTTTCTTTATGCCTATGCTAAGTTAGATTATCAAGTTAAAATAGAACTGCTCCAAAAATTCAGAATGAATGAATGGATGATGTTTAATAATAACTTTAATACATATTTTATAATTTTTGAACATACCGAAACATTCTGAAAGCAAATCCCCAATTCAAGTGGTAAGTTCACAAAAATCTAAATATTAAGGTTACAGATGGGACTAGCTTGACTCTGACTGAAGTAACAAATCTTATAAAATTGGTGGAGCTACCTTTTATAAAAATGACCACAAAATATGGTTGATTTACTAAGCATGTTAAGATAAAATAGCTAAGTGAAGCATATATTCCATATTTCTTTGTAAATATGTAGGTAGTATTATGTTTATTTTTTAACTGGTAAAGAGAGCATGTGATACCTAATTTGTCCAGTGGTTTCAGTGAATCACAGATATATAAAAGCACAGATTTTTAGAGCCAGAAGGAATTTACCTATCGTGACAATTATTGGTCTAGTTGAGAAAGAGGTATGAAAACTGGCTCCAAAACCAGATTCTTGACTTCTCCCTCCTTGTAAGATTTCCTAGGTCAGCATTCCCTTTCTTTGTTTCAGATTTTCTTTTTCTGAATTAATTCTTACTGTTTATTTACTTTTGAATAGTCTTCTAATCACTAGATTAAGATTTTGGTCATCTCCAAATATGATCGAAGTGAGCCTTTGAAGACAGTGCTTAAACCAACACCCAATTTGACCAAACGTGTAAGGCCACGACCTTCCATTGTCATGAATATCACGACGTTTCTTTAGCAAGGGCTTTGCTTAACAGGGCTGCAGTAAAAATCCTCCCTCTAAATCCTTGAGAAGTTCTAATTTGTAAAAATGCAAATTATCTGAAACCAAATGCTGTTTTCTTTTTCTTTATAGAGAGAAATTGGTCTGTTACATCTAGTAAAGCGTTCTAACCCGATTGTCCCTCTAGAGGGAGACATAGTCCAGCTTTTATACGAATTGCCTCCGCATCTTTTACTGTCTCGTTCTTTTTCTGCAGGACCGTTGTTTGCTCTCAGCGGCAGTTGCTGGGGCTCACAGAACTGGCTGTTGGGAGAGAGAAGGGAGGCAACGTCGCTTGGTCCTCCCATCCCATTTTACTGCTTAACTCAACCTGGAGTCTCAGGACCTATTCTCCTCCTGCATTCTCTCTGCACTATACGGGGGAGCCAAGTCACTCTGTATTCCCTGGACAGCCGGGCTGGCTGGAATAGGGTTCTAGAGTGGAGGGGGCTCTGCCCTTTATGGCGACTTTCTAAAAGATTAGCATCAGTGTCTTTTGACAGTACAGCGCCTGGGGTGGGACTCGAAGAGGAGGCTTTGCTTGCTAAACGGCTTCTTTCTCCTCTGGAAATCTGGATTTTTTTCCTCGGCCTCCTCCCCCCGCTCCTTTCTTTCTCCCCTACCGCCTTTAGCGAAGTGACACAGGCGATACCTGCTCGCTCGTGTTGGATGTGGCAACTCGCACTTTCTCGTTGGTGACGGTGCCAGGGCACTGCTGCCAGGGGGACATCGGCGGGTTTCCCTTCCTTCCAGCCCACGATGCCTAGAAGGGCAGCGGGTGGGCTGCGCGGGGCTCTGCCCTCAGCACTTCGAGGCGGGATTGAGGGGCTGAAGCTGGCCAGGAGTTGCTGCTAAGTGGACTCCAGTGGAAGGAGCAAAGTCTCCGCGAGGGCACCAGCGGGGACCTATTTGCGAGCAGTGGGCACAGGGGCACCTGCACCGAGGAACGCGAGCGTCTGGCGGGGGGACTTTGGCCGAGCTCAGAGCCTCTCCTTCCTGTCCCGAGCCTCCCAGCAACTCCGCCACGCTGGAGCCCCGGTACCTGCGAGAACCGGGGAACTCGAGAAGTGCGTGGCCGAGGCTGCTTTCCTGAAGGTGAATCATTCCGTCCAATTGCCTTTCCCTAGAGAACAAGAGGGAGGGCAAGAGAGAGGGAACAGAGGATGTGTGAGTGTGTGTGTGTGTGAGAGGGAGAGACGACGTGAGGGGAGAGGAAAAGTCTTTACTAGGCGTTAAAAGCAAACAAATCAGAGATGGAACAAGAGCGGTAATTGCTACAAGACCGCCTTGATTCTTGCAGTCCAGGGAGCTGAGCGCACAGCGCGCATCCGGCGAGGACAGCGGGCGACCGCGGGCGCTGCCAAGGGCTGCGGGACGTTGGCTTTTCCTCAGTAAAGAAATCTTTTGATTACTTTGATACTGTGGAATAAAGAAGGGGGGAGAAGGATCAGGCTCACCTTCACCCGCTTTAGGGGGATTCCAGTTCGGATGTCAAGAGATTCCTGAGTCCTACTTGCCATCGGAGGAGGAAACACATCCATACACGCGCGCGCACACTTGCACGCTCAGGGCCACACTCACTCATACGCCGCCGTCCACGAGCACACAGCACCAGACTTCGGTTCCCTATGCCCCTGGATGGTGACGGCGGATTGGCATCTTGGAAGCGATGCGAGAGCGATAAGGCTGGCGCTGGCCCGCAAAACCTGCAGGAGCATCGCTAGGTGTTGCCGCCACGGGGAAGCGGGGCTGCAGGTAGGTGCGAGCCGCGCCTCGGGTCGCCGGCCAGCGCTGGGGACTGGAGAGGCAACTGCAGGACCGCGGTCCCGGAAGCTCCTGTGGGCACACGTCTCCCCTCCCCTTTCTCGGGGGGTCGGGGGCTGTAGGGGGATCGCCCGGGAAAGGCGAGAGGTGAGGGCAGATGCGGGTCCTTCGGCCGGCGTCTCCCTCGAGGGCAGTCAGGCAGGGTAGGGCGGAGAAGAGGGGCGCCGAGAGGGGATCGGAGCACGAGAGGAAGCTCCATGGAGCGGTGCCTCCGTCTCTGCCCCATTTCTTCTAATACAGCAAAAGACCAGGTCGAGGATTGAAGTGGGTTTTAATTGGATTCCTCACCCAGACCCATCCCGGCCAGTAACCATTTTGGACTCTTAATAAGGAGTTGGGGGTCTCGTTCGAGGGAAGATCAATGGGATGTGTCAGGCCATCTTTCTGAAATCCCTACTTTTTGTCCACTTCTGATTAGTTAATTCTCAGGCCTGTTTGCAGAAGGTGGGTGTTTCAATGAGACTATTGATTTCTCCACAGCTAACTATTTTCATAAAGAACCAAGCTGACAATTTCCCGATCCTCATCTATGTAAGGTTTATTTGGATTTGGGATGGGGAGCTTTCTTACTGAATGAAATAAAGCTTTTATAAAAGGCTACTACAAGGGAGCTTTAGTAAACGATCCTCTGATGAAGAGCGTTCAGAATAAGAATGACTTCAGGAAACTAATGGTTTTTCATTTCTTTCCGGGTAGATGTCTCCCAGATCTTGCTAGTAGTACACTGGTTTTCTCCTAACTGCTTTGCCATCCCTTCCGCCTTCAATTCTAAAAGGTCAGGTGCCTACCAAGAAGGGTTTTCTTTAGGCTACTGATCTTCACTTATCAATGGGGAACGTGTTATTTCCAGAAACTGCCTTTGCAAAGGAAAGTTTGAGATCCGTTGCCCTATTTCTCCAAGAACTGCAGGTTGAGTTACCCAGTCTGAAAAGGACGAACCATAGACGCTCGCAGAGCCTTCCGGTGGACGCGAGGCTTCCCAATTGAGTATTCCAGGTCCTGACCGAGTGTTAAACAATTGCCTGAAACGTTTGGAATCGAATGTGTTGTAATGTTACTACACCAGCTAGTCTCTCTTCACCTTTGCTGGGTGTTTGGCTTATGGCAATAAGAGAGAGAGAGGAAAAAAATCCTCGTTTTGTGAGTGTGAAATCCCCTCTTGTATTTTACAGAATGGTTCCTGGAGGAAAAAAAAAAAAAAAAAAAAAAAAAAAAAAAAAAAAAAAAAAAAAAAAAAAAAAAAAAAAAAAAAAAAAAAAAACCAAAAGAAAAAACCAAACCTTAAAAACCACAAAAAAGCAAACCCGTATGCAACTTTTACTCTGAAGTGTCCCCAAAGTACTTAGTGTAGGAGGGTCTTTCACTCAGGACAGAATGAATTTCAATGACTATTGATTGGATCATAATTATCTGGTTCTTGTCTTCTCAACTAGATTGCTTTAAACATCAACATTCAGTTATCAACACTCTCAAACTGCTTTATTAGGCAATATAAGTTAAGACAAATGAGCAATTAATTTAAGATTTTTTCGTAAAGTTCTAAACCAAAATAACTAGGAAAGGAGACTGAAAACACTTCTAAAGCTTTAAAAATCAGAGCATTAAGATTATTTGTATTTACCCCAGACTTTCCATGTTTGTGTTTGTACTCTCAGATGATTAATCATTTGCAATATCAAAATTGGCACCTAACATACTATATTTCAAATACAAGATCAGACATTTTAATCTCTTTCCTTACTTAATTTTGTTCTGGATCTTATCCTGAGTCAATTGTTTGAGTTGACCTTTCCTTTTAGAATCTTAATTTTTAAAGCCACCGGTAGGCACTTAAAGGCCATCAGTTACCACATTGGAGCTTATTTTATTTTCATTTTCCTAATTTTCAATAAAAACGTTGGGTTGTATTATTTTTAGATAGTAAAAGTCTGTGAGGTCAACGTCACTGCCAACTGAATACTTAGGCACAGGGAGTCTTTCAAGAGGCAAATAGCTTTAGTGTGTTGTTTTATTCAGATTAGGCATTTTTTTTGATGTTAAAATCTTGATTCTTTTCTTGCCTTTAAAAAATTTAGTAGTTTAGGTTGCTGAATTTATATTTATGTAGAGTGCTATGATATGTGTCTCTTAAAGATGAGTCCAAAATTTTTGACACGAAAGCAAATGCCTATATAATGGTACAGGTTCTGCTAGAGGGGATTTAAGACTTCTAAGTATGTGTGATATTGCATTGGAAAAATATTAGCTATTTTAACAATGACAAATTGGAGAATGAACATTCATTGATATGCCTATGGATTTGTGTCAAAATAGATACATATTGCTTAGCGATGGCAATATGGTATTTGCTAACCACCAAGTTTTAAAATGTGATGACATGGCTGTTAAGAGATCTGTTTTTAGATACGGCCAGTTTTCCTATTTAAAAATTTATAAAATGATAAAATTTAGGGGCTGGTGGAAAAAATTTAAAAATTATTTTATATCTTATCAAAAATATTAGTAGTCTTGGATCCAAAGTCTTCAATATAGTATTTTCATGACCATTTAAAAATGCATTTTTGTGTTAAAATATACATTTAATGTTGATTTATCACTAATTGCAAGTTATGGATTAATGTATACACGAAGGGTAAGATGTGTATCTTCAGGATTTCTTAGTCATTTCTTATCTTGGTCCCTAAGAAAAGGTACTGTGAGACTGCGCCCAAGTTCAGCAATCACTGCAAACTGATGAACATTTACTGATGAACTCTCTAATGCATGTCTCAAACAAGGAATGTTTGAAAGTGTCATCAGTTATTTCTAATATATTTGAAAAGATGAAACAACCAGAGTACAAACAGTTCAGTGCCCCTGCTTTTACTTCTGCAGTATTTTATTAGGGATGCCTCATTAAGTCACATTTTTCTGCAGCTGTTTTGTTCATTGAAGATTCAAGTAAAAATAAGGAACTTTACTGTGCAATACAGTTTTGTTTTCTTGGTGAAAAATCACAACTTGTGGTAAAATAATCATCCAACCCGTCGTCCCCTTTGATCTGTGTCTGACATTTACAAATGTAATTCATCAACCTGTTATTAGTAGGGCTCCATCAAAACAAAGAGAAGAAATGCATTAACACAGCCTGCTGCTGGATGTGAAGGTGAAACCAGCTGCATCAGCCTAATATCTGGCCACATGCTCCCACAAAATTTCACATGCGATATCTTGCTTTTGGACCACTGATTTTGTAATGCCATGTGATATGGTGAATTTGCCATTTTGTTTAAAAATTCTTTGGTTAACTTTATTTTGAACTACTTTGAGCATACTGAACTATTTTAATTATTCCATTGAAGAGAAGAAATAATTTCGCACTGAGTTATCATTAGTCTTTTTAGAAAAACAGTTTTACTTTAGGTTCAGAGCACAATCTGAAACAGGAGATTGACAGGTAAGCCTAGCAAACAGGGACCTAGAAGTTAATTTCTGTTTTTTAATTGTCATTGGCCACTGACTTATTGGGTAATTTTTAGAAGGTCTGATTTTGTTCATTCAGTGCAGTGATTCATTCAGTGCAGTGTCATTGTCAATTAAATAAACAACTCTTGTCTTCTACTTAATCTTACAGAAATTTTAAAAGGGTAAGTTAGATTTATTGGAACATGAAAATATTTAAATATATTTCTCTGAAATATCCAACTATATAATCTCTGTATCTATACATATATGCACATACATACATACATACATACATGTGCTTTCAATGGCACCCATCTAAGATACTGGTTTTATGTAATCAGTATTTTAGGTTACGTAAAACCAGTATCTTAGATGGGTGTCATTGAAAACCAGGGTGATCAGAACAACTTTGTAGAATGTCTGCATTTTTAGGTGCGTAGCTTTTCCACTGTTTTCCATGATTTGACCTGCAGTACAACTATAGCCATAGTACGACAAGGTCATTTATAACTCAGTTTTACTGTTAATACATTTTATTTTTCTCACGGCTTTTTCTTTTGGAGATACTTTTATTTACTAGGCTACAAATACAAAAAAAAAAATCATTTTGCCCTCAGTGTGGAGACACTTTGGCGTGTGTTTATTGACACTACAACTGGGATTTTGACACATTTTAGATGCTGAATATATCTGTGTGCTGTTTTTATTGAACAGACACCTCCATAGTCAAAGCACAAACTGTGCATTACGTTGGAGTATACTATTCTCATTTAAAATGATATCTACAAAATTGCCAAAAATATATTGATATTATACTCCAAATTTATGTTAGTTTTCCAAAATCCACCTGTTTCTAATGTGTATACCACATGGATATGTTGGATTTTATCCTGTGCTGTAATATTAGGCAAGCTAGTCAGTGAAATACTTGGGCAATTGATTGGTATTGCCATTGGAAAACATAAGGTTTCTAGTTCACTTGGAAATCAAATGAAAAGTAAATATATGGGCTATAAGAAGAATATTCCATTTTGTTCAGTGGTTCATGTGGAGGATGAGATATATAACTAAGGAATCAGAGCTTATATGTTTATATTAGACAAAGTCCTTTTAATCACTTCCTTCAATCTCCTAAGTTACTCCATAGTAGCTGTAATTGTTTTATGATTTCCCCTGAATGGCTAGTTAGCAAAGCTACATCTCCCTTTCCACAGCAATAGTACAAACATAGTCATTCAATTAAATTTATATTTATATTGCTTCTTTTATACTATAGCTTTATGCAGTAGATTTTGGAAACTCTTTACAGAGAGATTCAATAATGTGATAATGTTGCATTCCAGCAATTATGGTGATAGGCTGAATTTAGTGCTTTGACAAAATTAAGACAACCAGCTAAACAAGTCTCCTATGCTATGTAAAGCTAACTCTCCACATGAAGCCTGGGAAGCTCAAAGTAGTTTTTGATGAATGCAAAGTATGTTTTA